AGTTCTCTGAAAATCTATTAATACAAAGATCATTATCCTTAAAATGTAGAATTTAGGGTTGCTAAGCAATTGATGGAGTCATTCAGTGCAAAAGCTGAGCTTGAAACAGGAGAAAGATGTGACTTTTAATATGTAATTAGCTAGGAACTAGTAATTAGTGAATGCCATTACATTCAGCCATTTCCTCAAGTGCACATGGCCTTGATTCATCCTCACAGAATGTCCCACCACAGGACAGGTTAAGAAGCAGAAAGCAAAGAATTCATGATGAGTAAAACTTGTCAGAACCTCTGTTAAATCATACAGAACGAGTTTAATAACAGATTCCCATTTTGGATGACAACTCCACACAGGCAGCATTCATTAATTTGTTCTACACATTTCTCTGCTTTTGTACTCCAAGTCTGGGCTGGCTTTGCTGCCACTGCCTGATCTGCACTGGTAGTTGAAACTTGCTAATTCATTGCATTCAATGGAGTGAGTCTCAAAATTTGATAGGAATCTCTTTGTTACACTGATTTCCTACTCATCTTGCATCCAAAGTGAAGCCATTTTCTCCTACTGCTTTTCTTCTTGCACACCCCCCACCCCAAAAATCAGCTGTGAAGTGTTTCACTCTTTGATTCCTCAGCATACATGCTTATAGAGCATGTCTCATATTCCCTCCTATATCAAACACATTCCAGGCATTTTATTACACTCAGAAACATTTTAAGATACAAAAAATGCAGAGAAAAAGTACTTCCCCTGTACCCTGCCACTGTGATTTACAGTAAAACACTGCATTAATTTTAAATGGATTAATGTTGAATAGATGATCATTACTCTCTAAAAGCATTTTTATGAAAGACTTGCTGGCCCTTAAGATATGAGCATCTTTGCTCAACAAAAAACAGTTGCTAAAGATGCTAACATCTTCATATGTGAAAAAGTAGAAATAAAGAAAGAAATAAATTAGTTGTATTTGTGTGGCAAGGATTCACAAGGCAGGCTCCTTTCTTTCCCATCAGTTATTTCCCTGACTTTCCCCCATCATCTTACACCTGCCACAATTATGGGATACAAATAACACACAGGAATGGCAATATTTTCCCTTTGTGTACCAGAATTAGTCTCTCCTGTGAGTTCTTCTGAGTTCAGTCCCAACATGTGTAAAAAGGAAATTGCACAGATCATGCAAACCACACACCAACTGCAGGCTTCCTGCACGCCAGCATAAAGCAACCATTAATTCTTCACTGTGGGAAAATATTGGAAAGGTTAATACATGGCTGGTCAAACCATAGGTATTAAAAAATTTTCAATAGCAACCCAGCAGGTTTAAAGTTGTCACTTTGTAACTTAATGATGGTGACTTGCTCTAATTCTCTGCAAAGATGTCACTGGGTTGTCACAGGCCAGAAGGCATAAAATGCAGCACTGGGTAGAACAAACATTATCAGAGGAGGATTGCAGTTTTCAGACAACTAAAACATGCTCACATTAGCAAGATCCTTGCAATGATATGCTTTTCTAAATTCAACATATTTACTTAGATACAAAGACAGCAAAGCAGCAAACATCCACAACTGCCATAAAGTAACCTCCTGATTTCAAGGCTAATCACAGATTATTTTTCTCCTGCAATATGAGTTTTCCCATCAAAACTGTAAGACTAGATGTGTCATTCCCTAGCACTCTGTAGCAGCAGGCAATTTTAGACAGGGAAGGATGCAATACTCAGTACAGCTATATATGCTGCAAAAATGAGGTGAATCTCAAACACCAGATGCATAAACCAAACTTACCAACTGGACCCTGAAAGTCTCAGTATTTACCTAGAAACAAAATGCATGGCATAGATTAGATTCATTATAACCAAGTTTCAGAGCTGAGTGTCAGCAAGCTCCTAAGGGAATATGCTCCATCTGAGTTTTCCAGCTGGAACCTCTGCCTGAATACAGATTTTCTCAGAGCACTGTTCAGACCATTTACCAAGGGAGCCTCACCTCATTAGGAGTAATGGAGTCATTTCTAAGTATGATCAGGTTTTGTGCACTCTGCCCACTCTGTCCTGTCAGATGCCTCTCAGTCACCACTGCAGAGGGACCAGTAGTTCCTGTTGGGCCACAGGTATTGTAAAACATGAAAGTGTCACTTCCTGATCCTGCAGTCAGGCAGGCCTTATAGCAGTAGGTCTTAGTGAGAGACCCATTGCCCCTCACTTCAATGAAATGGGGCTGTACTTTTAAACCTTGGGGCAATCTAGCATCAATGTTGTTGTTGGCCTGCTTGTACAATTCAGCAGGGCTCCGTTCTCTGACCGTACAGCACCCTGCACAGCAGGAGCTCCCATACAGACTGTATCTGTAGCACTTGATAATAGAAAGCCCAATGATTGTGAAAAGGAAAACGAAGGAGATGGCGCTCAAAGCGATAATGAGATAAAGAGTGACCTCTGAGTAATTGCTTGGGCTTTTAAAGTGTCTTCTTCTATCAGGGATGATTTTGGAAACTCTGTCCACCACAGCAATAGTGATGGCTATTGATGAGGACATCGATGGCTCTCCATTGTCTCTCACCTCCACCGTCAGGTTGAAAGTAGGTGTGCTGTCCTCCCCCAGTTTGCGAGTAGTCCTAATCTCCCCAGTATGGAGCTCTATCCTGAACAAACCCGGATCTGAGGTTTGCACCAGGTAGAAGAACAACCAGGCATTTTGTCCTGAGTCCCCATCAATGGCTATAATTTTGGTTACCAAATATCCAGCATATGCCGAGCGTGGGATCATCTCCAGGGCTGCTGAAGTGTTGGTTGAGGTAGGATACAGAATCTGTGGAGCATGGTCATTCTCATCCACCACGTAGATGTAGACAGTGACAGTGCTGCTCAGTGGTGGGATCCCAGCATCCTGAGCCTGGACAATCACCTGGAACTCCCTCAGTGTCTCATAGTCAAATGACCTGACAGCATACATGTTGCCATTATCGGATTTAATAGAGACATAGGAAGCAACCGGTAGCCCTTCAATCTCCCCATCTAGCAGAGAATAGGACACATAGGCATTTTTGGCGACATCTGGGTCAGTGGCTTTAATAGTGCACAGGAAGGCTCCAAGGGGGTTGTTCTCAGGGATGTAAACTGAGTACACAGGCTCCTCGAAGCGTGGAGGATTGTCATTGATGTCGGAGATCTCCACGTGGATCACCTTCTGGGAGGACAGAGGGGGGCTCCCAGAATCAGTAGCAGTAACTGTGATGTTGTAGGCTGCTGCTTTCTCGTGGTCCAGTTTGCCCTGGGTGACCAAGGTGTAGGAGTTCTTGAAGGAGTTGAGGGTGAAGGGGAGGCCGGGGGGAATGCGCAGGCTCACCTGCTTGTTCAGCCCTGAGTCCTGGTCAGTGACACTCATCAGGGCCACCACAGTTCCTGACCTGGCATCCTCTGGTACTGGGCTGTACAGGGAGGTCAGCTCCACTTCAGGAGCATTATCATTGGCATCCACAATGTTGACCAGCACCTTGCAGTGCCCAGCCAAAGAGACAGGGCCCTGATCAGTGGCTTGCACATAGATCTCATAGAAGGATGCCTCCTCATAGTCCAAAGTGCCATTAACCCTCACCTCCCCCGAATGTGGGTCCACGCTGAAGAGCTGTCTCACCTTCTGGGGGGTGTAGCTGCCGAAGGAGTAGATCACATCCCCATTAGAGCCCTCATCCGGATCTGAGGCATTGAGTTTGACCACCAGCGTGCCAGGCAGGGAGTTCTCCAGAAGGCTCACGGTGTAGGTGGAGCGGTCAAAGGCAGGTGGGTTGTCATTGGTATCCACAACTCGCACAGAGATCTGGGCCGTACCAGATTTGGGGGGATCCCCACCATCCACAGCAGTCAGCACCAGCTGCTGCAGGGCACTCTGCTCCCGGTCCAGCGGCTGCTGCAGCACCAGTTCCAGGAGTTTGCTGCCACTCTGGAAGCCTTTAAGGTCCAGGGCAAAGTGGCGGCTGGGGCTGAGCAGATAGTTCTGCACAGAGTTGGTGCCCACATCGGGGTCCTGGGCACTCTCGATGTGGAAACGGGCCCCGGGCACGGCAGACTCACTGATCTCCAGCCGGTAATCCTGGCGGGGGAACCGCGGCGCGTTGTCATTGATGTCCAGCACCTCCACCTCCACGTTGTGCACCTCGATGGGCTGCTCGATGACCAGCTCCAGGCTGAGGAAGCAGGAGGGGCTCAGCTCGCAGAGCGCCTCGCGGTCCATGCGCTCCCGCACCAGCAGCGCCCCGCGGCCCAGCTCCAACTCCAGGTACTGCCGGCCGCTGCCCGAGGTGATCCGCGCTCCCCTCGCCGCCAGCCGCCGCGGATCCACGCCCAGGTCGCTCGCCACGCTGCCCACGAAGGCGCCGTGCGGCAGCTCCTCCCGCACCGAGTAGCGGAGCGGCCCGCCCGCCGCCCGCCCGGCGCACAGCCCCAGCAGCAGCAGCGGGCCCAGCACCGCCGCCATGGCCGGGCCGGGGGGTGGCCACGGGGGAGCAGCCGGAGCTCGGAGCCGCCGAGCCCGGCCCCGGCCCGGCCTCACTCCCCGCCGCCGCCCGGCCGGCTCATGCAAGCGGCGAGCAGCAGCCGCCGGTCGCCTCCGGCCCCGCCGCCGCCCGCTCCATGCTCGCCGGCTGCGCCAAGCGGCGGCTCCCACCTCTCTCCCTCCGGCGGCTCTCAGGAGGATGAGGAGGAGGAGGAAGGAGGAGGGACCGGGACTTGCCGGATCCGCTTTCTCCTGCTCCAGCTGCTGCGCGGGAGGAGGCGGGGGTGGCCGCTAAGCCGCGGCTGGCGCCGGTTCAGCACCTGGGCCGGGAACAGCGGCACCGCGGGCGCCGCCCCCGCGCCCCGCCCGGCCCCGCCGCCCACGTGTTGCGGCCCCGCGGAGCTCCGCGGCTCCCCTGCCCTCCCCGCCGCTCCCCGTCTCCGCCCTGGCTTCGCCTCTGAAGCTTTGGGAGCGCGGGGAGGCGGCTGGGGGAGCTGATAACTGCATTCACTTGTGGACCTGCTGCTGCAGCGCTGAAGTGCAGCCGCTTGAGAGGGTTAAATCGGCGCAGAGCTTCGGGGAAAAAAATGGGCTTCCAGCCAGGTCTGGTGCCGTTTGTGTGTTGCTGCAGTGGGTTTGACGACCTCTTTCTTGGAGTCCTGCCCCTCTGCTCCCTCGGAGATTCGTCCTTGCTGCAGCACCGTCCCCCTGCCCAGCCTCCACGGGCACCCCTGCGCTGCTTCCACCCACCTCCGCCCGGCTGAGAGAATTCTGCAAGTCACACCCATGAGTTATGAGCATTTAAGGTGAGCCTCAGTTTCTCATCCAATGTAATACACAGGCTCAAGGTGATCAGGTGCAGCTGCAGGGAAGGTGGAACATGATCTGTTTTCCAGTTACGGTTTTTTCCTCCTCTCCCCTTGTGACAGAGGACTGACAAAAAACAGTCATGAAATTGAGCAAACTCAGCAGTGGGGGTGGCGATGCTGCACCTGCAATGAGTTTTACCCCAATGTCAAAAGTCCCAGCAAAGACAATAAACTGAAACTCCCATTCATACACCACCTAAGTCACTGAGGTGAGAGATTTAATGAGACAAACCATAGGCTATTGTCCTTCAGGTGTGCAGCTATGTTGCACCTACTACCCAATGCAGAAACTCTTTCTCTACAAATGTTTCCTTCCCTCTTGTTTTGGGATTTTTTTTTTCCCATTTCTTTCCCCATAAAGTCTTTTGGAACATCCAAAAAATCCTCTCTGGATTGGACTGGTCTGTCAAGGGGAGGGGGTGACCTCAACACTCAGCTAAAACCTCTTCCATTGCCCTTTTTTGGCCTGGACAACCCTCACCATGAGAACACTATAAATCTCTAAATTTAGTTTTTTCACAAACCCTGGAGCACAACTGCCCTCACTCTGACTCAGCACCACTAAAAACTGCGACCAATCTATCAGCTTTTATCTGTGGCCACCTTTACCAGAAGAGACAACACTTACCATATTTGGGCTGATGGTTCCTTTATTCTCAGCCCATTTTTGTGGTTCAAATACTTGCCCTCATATTTATTTTGATGTGTCCAGTATCCCAGTATCTGCAATTACTGCTGTCAAGCCACCCAACCCTGCTTATATTTTTAAGTAGGATAAATGTTGGTCTGTGAAGACCAACAGAAGCAGCTAGAGATGCCAAGTGCTTAGAACACCTGGATAATTGCCCATTTCAACCAGTTGCCAGGAGCCAAACACTTAGAAAAAAATTAACTTCAATTTTTTGGCTAGGTACCCACCTTCAAGATTGCAATATTCACAGACTCAGAACAAAATACCTTGACAAAAGGTCAGGAGACAAAAGTCTCACAAAAAAAGTAAAATAAAAAGGTGCCAAACAACAAAACCCCTTACCAGCCAAAGCAGAAGAACCCAATATCATCAAAGAACCCAATACCCTGCTGAATGCAATAAAAATAAAAGCTATAGCAGCACTAATATACATGGACCATACAGCCATGTGTCAAACCAACTTGCAGCCATTAAGAAAGACAGAAGCCTGAAGAGAGGCACCCTCAGTTTTCCAAAAATCACACAGTGATTTCAGCACAGTCCACAAGATCATCTCTGCCCCACACCTCCAGGTACACACCCACAGGGTACTCTAACAAATATACAAAACAATAAAAGGCCAAAAGCCCCAGCAACAATGGCAACATCTAAGGCCTTGCCTTAAAGAAGATGTTAATGAAGACTCTCCAGGAAATGTTCGTGGCTAGGAGGTGCTGGGAAGATAAATCTCATCTCTGTAGGCAATAGCTTTCTAGCCACAAGCTGATTTTACTCTGAGTGAATGAAACACATCAATCCCACATCCTGGGGAGTTTAATACCAGCAAGGAATCTTTCACACCGTTTCTGGACCTCATGAGTTACCTGTGATAGACATTCAGGCTCTGCTCTATTGTATTTCAACAAGGAAGGGCTGCTGAGCCCTCAAATCCTGGCCCACTTCACTATTTGCACATCACCTCAGTTCATCTCCCCTCACACCCTGTGTCTCAGTGGACAGCTAAGACTGTGCACAGCAAAAGTTTTGCAAAACACCACAGAATGTAGAACTGAACAGAGATAATACACATATTCCATAATGTTTTCACCCCTGTCAAACATGTCTGTCGAACTCAAGTTCTTAGAAAATTTTTCTCCTACTTTTAGAATTGTAAGATCTAGGATTGCCTGGCTTCTTGCCTTTTTTGTAAGTTTTATAGCACCAATAAAATATTACTCCAATAATCATGGTATAAATTGGTACTATAGCTTGGCTTATTTACAGAAGCATTGCACAAATGTCACATTCTTTCTCAAAAAGCTTGCTTTATGAAGTTAAAGCTGAGTACAGAGTGGATAAGTGATATACCAAAATGTGTTCTGTTCTGATTAAATGTTCCCCAGGTCCTTTTAAATCTATATAAAATTCATCTGCGGTCATAATAATTTTAGTTATTTCCATCAACTTCAGTGTTAATGCTGAGTCAGTCCTGCAGGCTGTGATTTTAATTCAGGAAAAATTTCAATTCAGGAAACATTTCAGGATCTGTCTGTAGTAATATTGATTTTTCTAGTAATAGACAAAACTTGAAACACAGAAAAATGTAATTTCAGTTTCAAATTAATCAAGGATTAGGGGCCTCCTAGTTTTCTTTTTTTTTTTTTCAGAGTTTTCAGTTATTTCTTGAAATTTCATCTAAAATTTTGAAACACCTTCAAAATGTACCCATTGAGTTCAGAACAATGCACACGAGCAAGAGAATCAGAATTCATCCCTGCAGCAAAACCAGCTGATAAACCTGATAACCCCTGGGGTGATTGGATACTGCCTGCATGCAGTATCTATATACACAGCCCTCTGCTATTTGCTGACATACAGAAACTGCACTGCTTTAATTAGCTTGGCTAAATTAAATGGCACAAGAACAAACATACAGGTGGAGCAAAGAATACCGATTTTATCAAGTCCTGCACAAGAAGATCAAGTATTTCTCAAGATAGTTATACATTGATACATATATACCCCAGCAGCCATAGTAATGTAACTATTTTAGCATGGAAAATCCTCACATTTCTCTGCAAGTGTTCCTTGAAACAGTTCTACATATAGATATGCCTGAATAAGTAGCAGCTGATGCAGTGCCACAAAAACATGTCTGTGCAGATTTTTTTCTTGGTAATGATACAATTATATACAGATGCACTTCTGTAGGCCCTTGGAAAGTTCATCCATTTCAAATCCTACTTATACAAGTAGGGTTTTTTTCTATAAAGTTTAACAAGGACCTCATAAACTTGCACTGGCAGCAATAAATTTGTGTTCAATTTGCTTCATTGCAGAGCACTAGGCAAAGTCCCTCCTCTGGCTATTTCTGAGTCTCATACAGCAAAAGGAGAGGGAAAGACATGTTAGAAACCAGAAAGATGTGAATGTACAACATGTAAACTGAAGAACTCCAAGGTGTTTTGACATCTGAAAAGACATTTCACTTCTTTGTAAATAATTTCATTTCAGTAACTCATATCCCTTAAACATTCGAGTCAGTGTCTCAGTGTCCTTTCCAAACTGGTGGGAAGACACCAGCTCCAAGCACAGGACTCCAGATTTCTGCACATACTTCACAGCACGTAGATCTTTAGTGGCAAAGAGATTGCTTGAATACTGTCTAAAAACAGACATGGTTTCAGCCTACTGATACAACTGTGTGCAAAAAATATAGAGACAAGTCCACAAAATCCATGGTTTAGCCATTAACAAGCAGGTAATTGGTGTCATTCTCCAGAAAAACAAACAAACTAGATTTCCTCTATGTGCCTGCTTGTATTTGGTGCCTGCAATTTGTCTGCCTTACCTTGAATTAAATCAAGTCCAGAGAAAGGAACATCCATCAGTCATAGGACAGATTACATCAACCAAAGTGGAAAAATTACCAATAAATTGTAAGGGAATGAGTTTGTGCAGTTTCTTATACACAGATTTTTCCTGTGAGCACCATCTTCTAATCCATGGGTATTTATGAAGTCTATGGAAAAAAAACATTTTGGTATTTTAAGGGGGCACTCAAGCTACTTCAGTTCAACCCCATCTTTCACTTCACATTCTTAGGATTCCTGCAATCTTCTGCAACCCTGCTTACTTCAGTGAGGACCCCCTCAGCTGTTCTCTGAAGGATGCTGTAAAGGGTTTTTTCTGGTGACTTCCCTTGCCTCAAGGACTGTTTGAGAGGGAAGATACTGCCTAGAGATACGGCAACATAAAGGTCTGCATTCTGTATGAAATTTCTTGGGGATGTGGGATTCCCACTTTCCCTTAAAATGCTGCAAAATGCCTCCCTGAGGGAATGTGAACTAATTTCTACAGCAAACTTCTTGGCTCGTATGTCCCAGTCATCTTCCACACTTGAATTACTTGTTGACAAGTCATCTTTTCATTTGGAACCTGCCTCTCCCATGTTTGAAAGAGACAGATCCTGTGTCAAATTATTCAGCTGGGTTGGCTCTGTTTTTCCTTAAATACATTTTCCCATTGGTAGGAATCTAATTGGTGAGAATTTCTTTTTGTATCACAAGCATCTGAAGCCAGGCTATTTAAAACATTGCTGTTATGGGAACCAAGGCTGCTAAACAGCCAGAAAAAATCCTGTTTGTATTTAGGCCACAATTTCTTTGCAATAATGTAACTTGCGAGGGGTTGGTGTTATAAATTTCTATTGAGATAAACCATGAAGATGCATAGAAAAAAATTCCTTTTCTTCTCCTGATGACCACAGTACATTCAATCGTTTCTCACTTCTAGTCTAAATTTTAAGGATGGATATGTCTGACTCATTCTGTCTTCTGCTATATTTTTCTGATGACTTAAAAATGCTTTTGCAATTTATTGCACATAATGTCACACACTGTGGCATTCTAAATGGAAGGACATTAACAACGTGGACACCAACAAAATAACTTTCACCTTTCTAAAGTCACCACCAAGCCTGTGTTACTTCTACTGCCAAATATTTTCTTGAAGGTTTTGGTTGATGAGTTTTGGTTTACCACCATTGTCTCCCTTTGGAGACAGTTTTCACCCCTTGTCCATGCAGGCTGATTCTCCAGCTCAAGCAATCACCACTAAATTACACCTCAGTGTGTTGTGAGACACACTGGAGTCAAATAAATTTCTTCCAGGTGATTATAATTTAATTTCTCAGCTCTGGCTACAGCTTTGTTCCATACCTATATTCACAG